GTTGGCATAATAACAACATGAAAGATTAGAGAAATGGGAGGAAGTAAATGCTGATGGTTAAATTGCCAGAATGATTGGTTAATTTTAATGGGAGGTGGTTGCTTCCCCTTGTTGACTGAGGAATAATTGAACTCTTGGACTTGAAGGAGCAAGCTTCACCGTCATAGCTGCTGCCGCTCCACTGTCTTCTGGGATCCACCATGACACCGTTGAGCCGTCATCATCCTGATCCTGAAAGACATCCTGACAAGAGAGAGGGAACCCGATGACATTGCCACTTCCACCATCTTCAGCTAAATCCTGAACAAAAGGGGAGAGAACAGCAAAGAGAGAAAATGTCTCTGGTGAGACTTGGCTTCCTGCCGTCACTCCTTCCCCCAGATGTCATTTTCCTTCCCCACCTTATTTCTTCTCTTTCCTGTCTCTCTCCGTTTGTCTCCTGTCTAATAAGAGTGTGACTTAGCCGTCCAAGACAGCTCCACCTTTTGCAACACTGCTGTGAACCAATGATCGGACAGGTAGCTAAAAACACCACCTTCAACAGCCCAACACTCGTACGAGTTAGCCAGGTCTAGGAGTGGCTGACCAGAGTGTGCTGGGCCTGTGTTTTGCCCCAACTGGGAAGCTGCAAGGTAACGTCAGCACCCAAGACAGAAGCTGCCTTTTCTCTTCTCTTTTGTGTTTGTCTTGCCTGAAAGAAAACAGGATCAGACAGCAACAAGTATACCACGTGCAGATTGAGACCATCTAAACTAACTTTTTCTCTTTCCCCCCAAAACAGGAGAGTGAATACTGTTTTTAATACCATCAGAAAGTGTCAGACAAGACTTTCCCCTGTATAGAGAGACAAGGTGGGTGAGGTAATATCTTTTATTGGACCAACTTCTGTTGGTGAGAGAGACAGATAAAGGGAAAGGGAACAAAGAATATTGTTACAATGAAAGCCTGTTTTAACACTTAATGTTTTAAATGGTTTAACTGTTTTTCTCTCTTTTTCTGTGTCTTTAATGAAACATTAAAATGATTTGAATGGTGATTGTTACAATGGGAGTAAACCAGAGATAACTAGAGCTGGAAAAATTAGCTTCAGCAAATAAATTTTCCACAAAAATGCATTTCGGGGGGGCATCAAAACTATTTGCAAATTAAGGTCAAATTCAGTGACTAGCTGCTGCCAAAAAAAAATGTTTTGTCGTAAAAAGTCCAGTTGGTTTCAAACGTTTCAGAATGTAACATTTCAAGTTTTCATTTTGAAATGGTGTTTAATTTCAAAATTTAACGAGATTATTTTTTTTTACGAAGTGTGAAAAACGCCTAAAATGTTAACAAAACAACACCCCACCTCATCCCACCCCCCAAATCTCATTTCAGTCCAATGTTGCATTTCAGGTGGTTTTCAGTCTTTAATGATTTTTTTTTTTTGCTTGTTTGTTTCATTTGGGTGAGAAAAAATTTAAAAAAAACTAGTTTCAGTTCAAAACTACCCAAATTCTTTTTTCATATTTTTCAGTCCAGTCCCTGAACTGAAAAATTAATTGTTCACTCAGTTCTAGTGATAACTTGACAGAGAAGCCACTTTTAACTATTTAATGCTGTTACAGTGAACAAGGTTTTCATTAACATCTCAACCCTGGCTGGGCATGACACACCCTCGTATTAACCCAACTTCCTCTTATCCCTTCCCCACCAAATAATTCCATTCTTACAAAAGGGTGTGCTACAGCAGGGCGCTATCCCCTCTCTCTACTGACACCTGTGCTATAAAGAGATAAACTTCACAATTAAGTGTAAAATTGCCACATTTGCTGCAGGAGCGGCTGTGCAATGCCACACTACTACCCTCACACAGAGAGATGTGAACCAGCTGCAGAGCACGAGACAGAGAATACAGCCAGGCTAGATTAACACGCTACTGCTGGTGCTGTAATAAGTTACGCTAAATCCTACCTGTGTCATCACTGAAATATGACATGGGACCAGATTTGGAAAAAAATGGAGTTCTGGAAAACCCCACCTGACTGCAGATCTCTGATGAAAGGGATGCTGACTCCAACAGGAGACAGGCACAATAAAAACAGCTGCTGTAGACGCTATGTGACTGTGACACGTAAATCTTCCACTTGCCCTAAAACTCCTGGAGAATGCTAAGGAGATCTGAGGAAAGGCTCAGAAAGCAATCTGAGCTGCATACAAGGGCCACGAAGTGAGTCAAATGGAAAAAAAGAAAAGCCCAGTTATTGATGGTGCAGTATACAGTGCATTTCATACCAAGCATGATGAAGGGGAAGGAAGCTCTGAAGAAGTAATGAATAAGTGCAACGATCATTGTACCCTGGCAAAAAATGTTAGCAATTAAAGACGTATTTTCTGCATAAGGAACAAAATGGGGAGAAGAAAGCTGAGGAGACTTTAAGATAAAGAACCAGAGCCTGATTCTCCATAACACTAAAGCCACTCTGGCAGCTTAAAGAGGTCTTAAAAGTTGCAGAATTGGCCCGCTGAGAATACCCCTGCGCTAAGGGCCTCTCCTTGGGCTTGCATATGGGCTTAATTCTGGTCCTGCTCCCTGGTGGATTAGGGTGTGGCCAGAATACACTGCACTTAGTGCTATTCTCTCCTTCCCAAAGGCCTATGGGATGCAACACAAAGTTTAACTTAGAGCAGCCCAGAGGCTGCCTTAACTGATACAGGGAAACAGGCAGGCCCCTACACAGTCCCAGAATATAAGGAGCACAAAGGCAGTTTAAAAATCCCTTTGCCCCTGTTCTTCTCTACTCCAGACACAGGGATTCAGGAAAGGAGAATCAGGCCCACAGTATTTGAATCTGGAATATTAGAAGACTGTCTTGGTATAGGCCATCTAGCTTTAGGGCACAGCAATGAAAGGCTACTTAAGGGGGTGGACATGACGTTTGAAAAGGCAATATTCATAAACCAAGAACCAGAGCAAACAGATGTGTAGACAAACATAGCATGTGACTGTAAACGTTCTACCTCTTAGCACAACACAAATGACTGAATGTTTTTCTCCGCCCCCCCCCCCCCCCATGAGGTAGGGAAATGTCACCACTCTCCCCATTTTACAGATGGGGAACTGAGGTAGAGGACGATTAAATGACTCACCTGAAGTGACACAGGAAGCCTGTAGCAGAGCCAAGTATTGAACTCAGATTGCCTTTAGCATAGCCTCGCCCCTTCACCACATGATTAACCACCCTGAGGAAGTGCATAAGAGCTTACAAAAAATAACATGGCAAAGGATTAACATGCCAAACAAAGAGTGATGTCACAGTCATGTGGGAGCTGGCAGGAGGATAGAACAACCCAGCATTTGGACATGGAAACTGTAATAAACCCAACCCCTTTTCAGGGTGCTTGGTGGGCTAAAGGTAGAACCTGAGGATTCCTCCAGTGAAGGGATGAGCTATTCATAAAAACAATCATGAAAGAAGCTATGAACTCAAAAACGGTGGCTAATAAACATATGCGCAAGTGGTTCACACATGCCATGCAGAGCCAGAGTCCCAGCTGATGTACATAGGCACAGCTTCATTGGTTGCACTGGAGTTATGCTGATTTCAGCGGGGGATGTGACCCCTGAAACAGACACAGATACAAGTAATAATAGAGACTGAGAAAGGGCTATTCAGTGAAAGAATCAAGATTGAGATGTGAGCCTGAAAACCGAGAGTGTCTTTACACAGCTGTGTACTGCCTGAAAACAGCCCAGTCAAACAGCCTGGAACAAAAGGGTTAAAAAACCTAGGGACACAGAAAGGCAATCTCACCCAAGTGTTGCATCTGCTCCACCCTGTGATGAAGACATAAGCACTTCCTCATAGCTGCCAGCTTTAACAAGGCCATCTGTGCATCGGAGTCTGATCTGCAATATCCTGGGACAGAGAACTGGTCTGCTTCTGTGCAGGAGGGAATGCCATGTGTCATGCCAATGGCATGGCAGGCTAAAAGGCTTTTACTTTGTTTCTCAAAAGGAAAATATTTTAAAAACTCAAATAGAATCTTTTAGCAGGACAGATGAAGAGATTAGCTACCTCAGAGTACCAGAACAATGCCTCAACTGGAGTCTAGTTCTTGTACACATTTCAGAAAAAGAGTCAATAATGATACTTAGCACTAATTATGGCACCTAGGCCTTGATCTAGCAAAGCACTCAAATATTTGCTTAACTTTAAGCATGTGGGTAGACCCATTGACTTCAAGATGCTTCAACACATGCTTTGCTGGACAGGAAGTTTAAACCTCCAACAGCATGGGAGGTAGGAAGAGTGTTTTTATCCCCATTTTAAAACGTTAAAAATAATTGTGGGAAATGTTAAAATCTTCACATAATGAACAGACAAATTTTCTTGGCATCCTATTAATATTCTGTGTTAGCCCCTTTGCCTGAGTAATCAACAAACTCACCGTTTCTCTGTGTGTGTGTGTGTGTGTATATATATATATATATATAGTGAATGACTTGTATTCTTGGGTAGATGTGAGTGTATATAATTGGTCTAAATTATGACAGTTCCATTTTCAAGGGCCATGAAATGAAAGAGCTGAAAGTGAGTTACAAATAGCTCTGAATCTAAAAACAGAAGGAATTGCAGGAATGACCACACATACCACCGAAAAGTAACAGAGCAGCCCAGTTGCACTCTGATTCTGAGATTATCGCTGCCCTGTCATTAGTAGCCTGGCTGCGCCCAGCACCTCTCATTACTAGAGCGGTGTCCTGGGATCCACCCTAAATTGGTTAGTCTCTAAGGTGCCACAAGTACTCCTTTTCTTTTTGCGAATACAGACTAACACGGCTGTTCCTCTGAAACCCTAAAGACTAAAAACCACTCCCCACAACCTGGCAGCCTGCCATGCTGCGCAGCCTGGGAAATGAAGTCTAACCCTTCTTGTTTGCATTGCGGAGAGGAGGCCAGGCTGCAGAGATGACTACGAATCCCAGCATGCTGCGCGCGTTCTCTGAGCATGGGGGCTGCCACATTCCTTCCTGCTTCCTGCCAGGGGATGGGAAATAGAAAAGGGGAGGCAGTGTCTTTTTTTAAACATTTGAATGCTGCTACCACTGCTGCAACAAGCTGCACTGGAGAGTGGAGGGAGCACACACAGTGAGTTTGGCTTGTATGTGTCTATAGACAGCTCTTGTATGCTGTCCTGAGGGCAGTCTGGAAGAAAGATGATGTTTCCCAAATAAGAATGAATTAGTTTCCAAGCTGGTCTCTGTTTGTGTGTGTGTGTTTGCGTGTATGTGCAGGGGTGCTGGAACTAGTAGCTTGAAGTAGTTTCCATCATATACACGGCAGGGGTTTACAGCTTTGTTCAATGCCTTTCAATGCTATAAAAATTGTTCCAATGCCCCTGTGTGTGTGTGTAGTAGGACAGGAACATGGAAATTAAGCAAACTTGGTTTTATACAGGAGAACAGTCAGACCAAGGATGGTAGGGGGAGCAGAGGCAAAGTCCAGCATCACTTCCAAGGACAAAGTAACATCACAGACACCAAGGGTATGGCTGCAGCACGGCCGCCGCAGTGGCAGGGCTAGGGTGCTGTAGTTGTGTCACTGTGATATAGACACTTCCAACATTGATGGAAAGGATTTTACATTGACCTAGCTGTGTCTACAATGAGGGGTAGGTCGACCTAACTGTGTCGTACAGGGCACAACATTTTTCACAGCCCTGGGTCAATCTAATTTTTTAAGTGTAGACTTAGCCTAAAGGGCCCTCTTGTTGCTTCAGTTCAGCTGCTGGAAGGGGAACGTGGATCTGTTTCTTCTGGTTCATTTCTCTTTCCTTTTCAGCTGATGTGGTTAGACGCAAGTTGCCTGCTTGGGTGAAGCTCTGTGGTGGGAAACTTCTCTTGCTGCTACATGTTTATAACAATATTCCTTCTACGTTATAATGGAGGCTTGATTTAATTCCCCAGCAGATGCATGTGTGCGCACAGACAAATCCGACGTCTAATGAGCATCTCCCTCCAGCATTCAGCAGCCTCCCTTGCTGTTGTAACATCAAAAATGGCAGTTCTTGCCTATGTGCCTTGTACCAATCCATGGTGTGCACATAAAACACTGGGTTTCAGTGGCTGTTTACATGTGTCATAGAGAATAGGATTCACCCCCTTTGGCTTCAGCCCAGGTTTCTCCTCCAAGAGCTGTGAGAGCAGGAGCTGTTTGATATACCCCTATGTATCCCATCTATTAGAGGACAGTGGTACTCGTTACACACAGTTCACGATCAACATGTGAGCCAACCCAATGGGTTATGTGCATCCTCCAGCATCCACAGTACCTGAGAGAATGTACCATTCTGGTTAAGCTAGAGCAGTGGTTCTCAACGACGGGTACTTGTACCCCTGGGGGCACGCAGAGGTCTTCCAGGGGGTACATCAGCTCATCTAGATATTTGCCTTGTTTTACAACAGGCTACATAAAAAGCACTAGCAAAGTCAGTGCAAACTAAAATTTCATAGACAGCGATTTGTTTATACTGCTCTGTATACTGTACACTGAAATGTAAGTACCATATTTATATTCCAGTTGACTTATTTTATAATTCTGTGGTAAAAATGAGAAAGTCAGCAATTTGTCAGTCGTAGTGTGCTGTGACACTTTTGTGTTTTTATGTCTGATTTTGTGAGTTTTTAAGTGAGATGAAACTTGGGAGTACACACGTAGGCACGGGAGCTAGGGGTGCAGGGCATGCTGCAGCACCCCAAAGCTCCCAGCTGCCAGCCCCGCACCTGGGGTCCCAGCTGCTGCCTTGCACACCCAGGGTCTCAGCTGCCGGCCCCACACCCAGGGTCCCGGTTGCCACCCCGTGCACGAGGCTCTACTCCCAACCTCAGCTCTCGGGGCTGGACAAGGGTAAGGAGGCTGGCTTTCAGCACTCCCACTATTAAAAATTTTGCACAAGACAAATCAAACTCTTGAAAAGGGTACAGTAGTCTGCACAGGTTGAGAGTCACTGAGCTAGAGACTTTCTCCTTGACCACCATTGATTGTAGACCAAAATGTATCTCATACCTGGCAAGTTATTTTCTGTGACTCACCAGAGGGAGTTACAGAGGAATTTGCACAACTAGGGTGGAGCTCAAGCACTGAGGAGTTGTGGTTTATTCACAAGCAGGCATATATAGCAACAACCCACAAACCACTTGGGTTGTACAGACCACTAAATTGAAATCCCAAAACTATGCCATGATCTAAACCTCTGCAGTCCAGAGACACCATGTAACTAGCTGTGTATGCATGGGGACCATCCGAATTCACGAAACCACCACATTAGTCCCTTAAAATCTCCCTCTGCTTTGATACCTACAGAAACATACGAACGGCCAATTTAGACCCCATCATTTTCTGTGTGTAGTTGGGATTATGCTTTCCAATGTGCATCACTTTGCTTTTATCAACATTGAATTTCATCTGCCATTTTGTTGCCCAGTCACCTGGTTTTGTGAGATCTTTTTGTAGCTCTTCGCAGTCTTCCTGGGACTTAACTATCCTGAGTAGTTATATATAGTAGTAGTTTATATCCTCTGCAAATTTTGCCACCTCACTGTTTACCCCTTTTTCCAGAACATTTATGAATATGTTGAATAGGACTGGTCCCAGTACAGACCTCTGGGAGACACCACTATTTACCTCTCTCCACTCTGAAAACTGACCATTTATTCCAACCCTTTGTTTCCTGGATTGATAACCAGTTAACAGATCCATGAGAGTACCTTCCCTCTTATCCCATGACAGCTTACTTTGCTTAAGCAATTTGCAGATGATACAAAATTTGCAGATGATACAAAATTACTAAAGATAGTTAAGACCCAGGCAGACTGTGAAGAGCAACAAAGGGATCTCTCAAAACTGGGTGACTGGGTAACAAAATGGCAGATGAAATTTAATGCTGATAAATACAAAGTAATACACATTGGAAAGCATAATCCCAACTATACATATAAAATGATGGGGTCTAAATTAGCCGTTACCACTCAAGAAAGAGATCTTGGAGTCATTGTGGATAGTTCTCTGAAAACATCCACTCAATGTGCAGAGGCAGTCAAAAATGCAAACAGAATGCTAGGAATAATTAAGAAAGGGATAGATAATAGGACAGAAAATATCATGTTGCCTCTATATAAATCCATGGTATGCCCACATCTTAAATACTTTGTGTAGATGTGGTCGCCCCATCTCAAAAAAGATATATTGGAAAAGGTTCAGAAAAGGGCAACAAAAATTATTAGGGGTATGGAACGGCTTCTGTATGAGGAGAGATTAATAAGACTGGGACTTTTCAGCTTGGAAAAGAGACGGCTAAGGGGAGATATGATTGAGCTCTGTAAAATCATGACTGGTGTAGAGAAAGTAGATAAGGAAGTGTTGTTTACTCCTTCTCATAACACAAGAACTAGGGATCACCAAATGAAATTAATAGGCAGCAGGTTTAAAACAAACAAAAGGAAGTATTTCTTCACACAACACACAGTCAACCTGTGGAACTCCTTGCCAGAGGATGTTGTGAAGGCTAAGACCATAACAGGGTTCAAAAAAGAACTAGATAAATTCATGGAGGATAGGTCCATCAATGGCTATTAGCCAGGATGGGCAGGAATGGTGTCCCTAGCCTCTGTTTGCCAGAAGCTGGGAATGAACGACCGGGGATGGATCACTTGATTATTACCTGTTCTGTTCATTCTCTCTGGGGCACCTGGCACTGGCCACTGTCAGAAGATGGGATACTGGGCTAGATGGACCCTTGGTCTGACCCAGTAGGGCCATTCTTATGTTAAGCACCTTTGGTGAGGGACCTTGTCAAAGGCTTTCTGAAAATCTAAGTACACCATATCCACTGGATCCCCCTTGTCCACATGCTTGTTGACCCCCCCTCAAAGAATTCTAGTAGATTGGTGAGGCATGATTTCCCTTTACAAAGACCATGTTGACTCTTCCCCAACAAATTATGTTCATCTATGTGTCTAACAATTTTGTTCTCTGCTATAGTTTCAATCAGTTTGCCCGGTACTGAAGTCAGGCTTACCGGCCTGTAATTGCCGGGGATCAGCTCTGGAGCCCTTTTTAAAAATTGGCATCATATTAGCTATCCTCCAGTCATTGGTGCCCTTGCCCTTGACTGGGCTTGTAGGTGCTACAGTAACACAAATAACAAATACTAACGGTAATAATAATAACAACCCTGTTTAATGAATTGGATGCAAACCGTTTTTTGGACAGCTCTATTCTGTTGCAGTACTCTCAGCTTTGGCAGGAGACCTATAAAATGAAACTCTTGCAGTGAAACATGTTTGCCCAGTGAAATCATAACAAGGTTATTGAATTTTTAGTAATGAAAGTGCTGAATATTTTATGATTGATTACAGCAAACAGTGCATCATGGAAGATCAAGTCCAGGTAGGCAGCCTAGCCAATGGAGGAGAATGAGAGTATGAGGCACCCAAACTACAACTCCCATGAGGCACCACAATGGCATTTTAGAATAAAAATATTTTGGTTTTCAGTTAAAGTATTTTGGGTTTTGGCTGAATAGTGAATTTTTTTCAGTTTATTTTTTGATGAAAAATTGAAATTATCTTCAGAAAGCTCATGCTTCTTCAAAAAAGTCTCCAGTCAAAAACCCAGTTTTGCATGAAAAAATAGTTTCATTGTAAAGTATTCGACCAGCCCTAGATAAGATCCATGGTTGAAAGACTGGCCCATTGAAGTCAATGGGAGTTTTGCCAACTTACTTAGATCTGTGATTTCACTCCATGTTTTTACTGTCCGTGTTCTGCACTGGTTCAGTAAATGGGTGTGATCTAATATAGACTCACCTCAATGTCTGATATAGATTTGCTTGGTAAATTTAAAAAAAGACTTTCAATTTAGGAAAGTACAAGGTTAACAAGCTTAATTCATTTCCACATTTCCCAGCCTACTGCACCAGCACCTTTCCTCTTACTGAGAAAGAGACAGAAAGATCCAGGGGACCAGAACCTTTGGTTCATTTTTTGTCCTGATTTATACCAGTGGAGATTGCAAGGGCTATTAATCAAAGCAGAATTTGTCTCTTAGCTGTTCAATGAATTTAACCCAATCTAGTCTCTTATATAGTAGGCAACATGCCCCTGTGAATTAAGGAAGTATTATCCCCATTTTACAGATGGCAACAGAGGCAGAAGGAGATTTAAGGGACTTCCTCAGCGTCACAACTGGAGTTTGTGGTAGATCCAGGAACTGAACTCAGATCTCCTCCATCCAGCGCCTCCATCCCAGTCTATCTCAGAATATAAAGGCTTAGCCCTAAAAACACTATGCACAGAGGCCTGAAATGCAAAGGGTCCATTTTTTATTTTCATCACAACTTCTGTTGTCTTGACTATTTTTAGTGACTAGTTCTATTCTAGTGCTAATTACTGGATTTCTGAAGCTAACCAACCCTTAATAAGTATCAGATCTGGCATTGGCTGAATAGGAGCCAATGTGGATCAATTTGGTAATGATCAGATTAGACGGAAATGGTTAGATCAGACATTTATTCTTTTGTAGGCGACCCATGCCTGCCGATAGTGGGGGAGGGTGGAGTGAGGGCAGTGGCTTCTGCAGTGTTACTGAGCATGCTCAGTGCGTGTGAGCATGCTCAGTACAAGGCAAGCAGCAAATCTGGGGGGGTGACCCTGCCCCTCCCCCCACCACGTCCTCTACTGCCATGCCACTTGTTGATTAAAATTTGAAAAGAGCAAAACATCTCCTGAGTCTGAATTTGATCTAACATTGTTGTCAAAATTTAATAATTTATTTTCTGTTGTTTGAGGTTGGAGATAGAAGATGGCAGAGGTTGAAAGCACAGTTATAAACACCAATGTGAAACAGGTAAGAAGTTATTTGTTACACCACTTTATATTTCATCGTTCAAGCACTTATCGTCAGTGTGATATTCCAAAACCCACCAACAAAGAGAAGCAAGATCTAGAGACCTGAGCACAGGAATGGGAGTTAGGAACTCCTGAAATCTAATTTTGATTCCAAAGTTGGAGCTAAAATGTTCATGCCGGGAGAACTAAAGAATCCCTATCTTCAGGCACCTAAATAAAAGCAGCTTGGTTTTCAGAACTACTGAGCACCTGAAGCTCCCAATGAAGTTATAAGAGCCCACGAAAGCTTATGCCCAAATACATTTGTTAGTCTCTAAGGTGCCACAAGGGCTCCTTGTTGGTTTTGGTCATATAAAGAAAGGGTGAGACTGATTCGTTTGGAAAAGCCTGCCTTTGCAGTGGCTGAAATGAAAACTCACAAGTGGTAGCATCCATGAAGGACATGATTGACTTTTTATTCTTCTTGCAAGAGTGGAGACAAACTGAGGTGAAACATGCCTGTGAAGGGAGGTGGGGCTGGTGATGTGCAGTGAAGCTAGTCTGTGTTGGCACGAAACTATGGATGGTGTTGGTAAAGCATGTGTCCCCTCTTTACAGCTCTGCACAAGTAGTGGAATGAGGCTGTACTGTGTCCAGATCAGCCAAAATTATGGAGCAGGTGCCCAACACTGTCACAGACAGACAACAAAAAGAAAAGGAGTACTTGTGGCACGTTAGAGACTAACCAATGGAAAAGTACTCCTTTTCTTTTTGCGAATACAGACTAACACGGCTGTTACTCTGAAACCAGACAGACAACAGTATGCATCATGCATGCTGCCAAGTTGGGAGTGACGTGACCTCCAACCTTTGCCTGCCCTATCTTTTGTGATCTGAGGGGTTGAGAGTGAACACCATAGACCCAGGGTGCATCTCTTTCTCCCTAGGTCCCTCTCTTCCCTGGATTGTGCAGGGCCAACAGCAATCAAGTGTGTGTCATGCTATCCAATGCGCACAGCTGCCACGGTGGGGTTTGAATCTCAGGCATCATGCCTTAATTCATCCTAGTCAACAAATACATGTAACAAGTGAGCTGTTGGTAGAATAGGTGTCCTATCCCACATCTATTCCTGCCTGGTCTGACCCCAGCGTACAGCTCCGTTCATCCAATAACTTCCACCTGAAACAAACGTTGTCCCAGCTGCTGTAATGTGCAAGATGTATACACACCATCTAGGTTCTGAATGGGGGACTCCACTAACTGGGGAAGTGCGCTATCCGTGTCCACCCACCAGCTTGCAGACAACACCCACAGGTGAGAGAAGGTGTGCAGCAACACTGTGACGCTGGTGGTGCTCTATAGATCAGCTGGACGGAAACGGTCAATCACTGTGCCTGCTCAAGTCTTGGCACTGAACAGCCCCACGTCCGCAGGGATTGGCTGCCTGTGGTGGGGGGTTGGGGCAATTGCAAGGCTACCCCAGGTAGTTAGGACCCCAGGAAGTGTGTGGGAGAAGGGAGATGATGTCAGAGCCTGCAGCTCCCACTGCTCCTTTGCAGCATCCTCTCCCCATTGATCATTGCCATCTCTTTCTTTTAAATCCACCCCTCTCTTCTTTTGGGATCTCCCACTGCCCACCGCAGAAAGACCCAAATGAGGCGCTGGTCATCGCCGTGACAACCAGGGCCATCTTCAACCTGGAGGAGGAGCATCAGCTGTTCCTGACAAAGGGCAAGGAAGAGTATGTGAAGTATCAGCAAGTCAATGAGGATAAGCCCTTGGAGCAAGGTACAGCCTTCGCTTTCATTCAGGTGAGATGCCAGCAATGGCCCCCACTTCCTTCAAGCCTTGTGCTCTTTGGCTGGGGCGTCTCTCTCTGACATAGGCAAAGAGTTGTGCCTCACTCATGGTGAGGTATGCTTTCATCCAGGTGAGATGCTTTGGCCCAGATTCTACATTAAAACAACACCTAAATACCTTTGAGGGTCTGGGCCTTTGCCCGTAGCCAGGTGAGATCTTGGCTTTTGTGAGGTCAAGATGCTTCCAGCCTTATCTCTTATCAGTATAAGGTGTGGTCTTTGCTGCAGTCAAGGTGAGTTGCTTCCTCAGACATGCATCGGAGTGTGACTCTTGGCCCTTATTTGGAACAATGAAATATACACGTGAGTTGTGTGTTGTTCTGTTTTGTGGAGGGATACATTGCGGACACATAAACCATCAGGGCACCATTCCAAAACTGATGGTGGTCAACTTGGATGGCACCACATCACTATGGTATTTTTAAAAATCATTTAGTGTTTAAAGCATAAATACCAGCCTTCCTGCCATACCCAGGATGGCAGACAGACTGTGAGGAATCAAGGAAAACTATGACACTAGTTTCCTCATCACAACCATCCTAGTAACCTTACCGTAGAAGGTTAGAGACAGAGCAAAATCAGCACCATGAAGTGACTTCTTGAGCAAGGACGTAACAGCAGCAATTTGGAGGGAAGATGACACCAGCAGAGGTTGGTGACATCTGAAAGTGGGTAGGCAAATTGAATTATATATACTTAGTGCATATATAATGGACTATGTATAATTAGACAAAATAGGCTAAATTCAGGCCAGACATATGTCAATGGAAAAGGATGTGGTCCTGAATAAGGAATCTGGGGAGCTGTCATTCCCATGGCTAAGGGGAGCTGTAGGCCACGCAGCAATACATGCTGGGAAAGGGGCAAGAAGGAGGTCCCTTTTTCATCAGTGTGCGATACACTGGGGAGAGAATAAGACTTGCTGTTCGTCTCCCTGCTAGGAGAAAGAGCGACACTTGGAGAAGGGCAAGAGCTCCAGGTCTCTCTGGTCAAAGGGCCTGGGAAGAGGCCCAAGAGAAGACAGCCAGAGGGTGGGGTGAATCACTCCAACAAGGGGGTGCCTGTTGCAGAGTGAAGGAAGTGGCATGAAAGGGGAAGTGAAGCGGGGCCAGAGTTGGTGGTTGGACCTGACACCGGCTTCTCTGTCGAGGGCCTGAAGGTTGGAGCTTGAAGAAGAGAGAGGGCACGAACTCCGCTGACTCAGAGGGAGCAGCAGAGCAGGGGGCGTTGCAGTTGTCCCCGAGGGAGGAGAGGAAACTCACAGAGCCTCACGGGAGGGCTGTGATCCAAGAAATGAGACTGTGGGCAATGTTGGACTCTCATTTACACAGTGGAGTGGAGCGCTTTGGGTTAGCCAGAGGCTTAAAGTACAAAAACCAAATTACTGAGAGGGTAACTATGGCAACCAATAGGTCACGGCTAAATTTGGCCTCTTCTGGTTTAAGCCCAGGATCAGGGCTGTTGGCAGTGGAAAGGCTGCAATCTTCTCTCTGTAACCAGGCGCCCTGCATGGAGTGGACACGGCTAGAACAATCACTAATGTTAGCCGATCCACCACAGGACTCCTGTAATGCCCTAGGGCAAGTTAAAGCCATTCCCTCCGCAACAGAATTCCTGAGGGGAAAGTGCATGGCAATGCTTTTGTCTGCCCTTCCTTGAGTGATTTCCCCATTGGTTGCAGAGGGCCACTGTCATCTACATTTCCCTACACCAACAAGAGCGATTCTGTCTCCTGGATGCAGGGGAGGAGTGCTGGAAATTGTGTGGCAGCAGATTGTGGGTACGTTTGTAAGTATACAGCTCAGAGAACAGCCCTTTATAAAACAGTGTCGTGTCTCCGGCTGCTTCATCCAGGCCACGCAGTTTGTGAATGAGAAACTCCTGGAGAGAAACCCAGAGGAAAAGGGCCTCTTTGATGTCATCATCCTCTCCAACAACAGCCCAGAGAGTGGCATGCGCATCATCAACAGTGCTAAGCAACATGGTAAGGAGATCCCACCTCTCATTTGAAGTCAGCCCACATTCAGTGAATGGGGGAAAACTGTCATCTGGTCCTCCAGAGACTGCTGTGAAATAGATGAGGAGGTGGGTCCAGGGGGGATACACGCCCATCTGGGGACAGGTGGTATCGAAAGGGAAGGACACAGGCTATGTGTGGGATGGTAGCACAAAAAGGGGATGAAGTGAAGGTGATGTTGTGGGAAATGGCTGGCATCCTGAGAAGGATGTTGCATGAACGTGGGAGATAGGGAGTGAAGATTTAACATTGTGAGGGACCTTGTGCTGAGGTGGGGAGGAAAGATAATGGTGGCTATGCTGAGGGTCACTGCATGAGTGGAAGGCAGCAGGAAAGGGGTATTGCCCTGATATCTGGAGCAGCTGTTGTCCTGACAGGGTCAGGATATCAGTTGCACAAAGGGACCCTGCTTTAGGGTGTGTCGGCCATGGCAGGAGATGTAGGGAGCGCTGTGTCAGTGTGTGGGCTGGAGCACAAGGCAGGCTGGAAATAGAAATTAGAGATCGTTTTTTGTGGGTGATCTTGGGCAAATCATTTCCCTGCTCGGTGCCTCGGCTTTCCCACCAAGTGGGGATAATGATACGGACCTCGTTTATAAAACACATTGAGATCCACGGATGAGAAGCACTGTGTAAGAGCTAGGTATTCTTTTGATTTCATTTACTTTTTCTGATGTTAAGGTTTGGAGATTTCCAAGTTTTGCTTTGTCAGCGATGAAGATTCCACCCAGTACTTGAAATCCCATAATGTCAAGCTCTTCCTCTCGGCCGACAGGACGGACGTGTGCAATGCACTCCAGCGAGGTGTGCTTTCTCCTTCTCTCTCACCCAGCCTGGGATTTCATTCTTACACCTGGGCCCTACACCGCCTCCCCCCCCAGCACCCCCAAGATGAAGTTACTTCAAGACTTGCTTTTTCAGAGGGGTTTATTACTCAATTCAGAGAAGTGGTTCTGGTCTCGATCTTGACACATTAGGTCTCAGCCTGGAAACAATTCAGAACCTAACAGTTCAGCAGGGTCTAGAAGTCACACGTAACCATCTTGTAACTGTTTGGTGGTGCATGTCAGATGAACTAGCAGGTCTCCAGTGCAACTGGGCAAGTAACTCATAATTCATCTGTTGCTGAAGAGTTTAGTCTCTTTCTGTTTACCAGATACCCACAAACAGACCATGCGTTTTCTCAGATGTATTCATTGTTCTAAACTATACATCAAATAGTGCGTGTGAATAATTGTTGCTCATGAATTCGGTCATAAGTTGGTTGTTACGAGCATCCAGTATTGTAGATTCAAGCTGTTCCTGCTCCCCGGTTGAATGAGTCACTGTTACAATCAGGTTTGCAGAGCGCACTGATTATAAATTGGAAATTTGCTTTCTGTGATTCACTTAAAATTAAGCATATGCTGAAGTGCTTTCCTGAATGGGGATGGACATAAGCATGCACTTACCCTCAATCAGGGTGTAGGAGTCTTTCCAATGACTTTCAGGGGGATCAGGCCCAGAGTCTCTTTTCATGAACAATGCTGGTTTGACTGGGATCTCGCCCAGCTGTCGAGGTTCCTTCTTTCAGGCAAACAACACAATCCACAAGCAACTTACATCTGAACGACAAATCTTTTCTCTGTGGTGAAGTAAAACCCTAAAGCTGCCTGACTGAGTAACATTCCTTGTTTAAAACCCATTTCCTGGCTATAATACCAGTATGTGAGAGTGGGCAGAGAACCCCTTTTCTCCAGTGCAGGAAGAGGGCCAGCATTAGGCCAGGTGCATAGAAGAATATAGTGGAGGTGCCAGCCAGTTTCGCCAGCTGCACCAAGGGAGCATATCTGGGTTTGGCAGGGTAGGATAAGCACAGGCAGGAGAGTGCTGGGTGTATTTGATGCATAGGGGCAGCAAGCCATGCTCCCCACAGCACCTACGGAGGTGTCTCCAGACAGTGACATCTGTCCATTGCCTCTCTTTCCCACCCCCACAATGGCTCTGCCTCTGCAGATGTCTAGTTGAGCCCTATTTAGAGATCTATCGTCTGTTTTCACTTGGGGGACCGGAAGCTGCAAGGGCCTGATCCCAAGCCCATTGAAGTCAGGGGCAGTCTTTCCCTGGATGTCAGTGGGCATTGGGTGAGGTTATAACAATTTCCTGGAAGAAGCTGTGCCTATGCTGACTGCTCCCCAGCCTGCCCTCCCTTTCATGCAAGCACAAGGGTGAACAGCATCACCAGGCAGCCAGGACTCATACTCTGGGGCCCTCACCAGAGCGTGGACACAGTCTCTCTGGTTCCCATCCTCAGCTGGGCAGTGACGCGTCTTTCTGTCCCACAGGAGTGTCGGCGGCTCTCATCTTCCAGCAGGAGGTGCAGGCCCCCTGCACCCAACTGCGAGTGGTGTTTGACGGGGATGCCGTGCTCTTCTCGGATGAGACAGACCGGGTTTTTCGAGAGAAGGGGCTGTCTGGGGCTCTGAAGTATGAGAGGGCAATGGAAGCCGTGCCCATGGGAGAGGTATGTTCGCTTGCCCTGCCTTAATGGGCTTCCCAGTCCCTACACTTGCTTCCAACCTGCTCAGTCTGGTTGTGTTACACTCACCCACAGTGACCAGTGAGTGAGCCCTCCTGCTAGAGTTTCACCAGTAACCCCTTGCAGCAGAATATGCACAAACATTCATGGGTGGCCTCTGGCCTATACATTGACTGCTTTGGCCTGATCCAACACCCCGCTGAAGGCATTGGAGAGTCCCCCATTGGTTTCAGTGAATGCTGTAACAGACCATAGGTCTCTTCTCCTGTAGATGAGGTTTGTGACGCGGGCACTGCACTGAAATCAGATGGGACGCCTGTGAATATTTGCTCTATTTCTAACCCTCTTCCCAGTCTGCAAACCTTTATTAGCAAATTCACTGTCATTTGTCACAATCAACTGGTCCAACTTTTGTGGTGCTGCTTGTTGGAACATGTCCATCTGCTCACTTGGGACTGAAATAAGGCCACAACATTCACTTCCATTTCTGCCCTACTTGGGGTTTACATCAAGTCTTCAAAAGTGAAGGGCTAGAGCACTAACCCACTGTGCTACTACACAGTTCACCCTATGGCACAGTTCACAGACCACTGGTGCTCTGCCGACCACTTGCCGGAGGAGAGCTGACTGGTGGCACAGTGCTGGCCCCCTCTTGTTTCTAGCTGCTAAGTTGCATTAAAAGACAGGTTCATGCTATTCGGCTTTGACAGGTTTATGATATTCAAAGCATAAACTGATTTCCTAAAGTCACGTTTCCATGTAAGCAATTGCTGTCATTGCTACAGGGATGTTTTATGATTGATGAGTGGGGAAGTGTCCACGAGACCATCCCTCTAGTAAATTGTGGTCCAGGCACTGGAAAAGTTCAAGATCTGCAGCTGTAAGGAATCTACATTCCTAGCCTCTGTGAGAAATCGCTCAATCTTCCTTGACCTCTCTTTTCTGGCTACTTTTGTGCAAAGGTGAAATTAACCCCTCCTCATGTACTCCCAACCTCTAATCCCTGTGTGGTTTCCAGGGTCCGTTGAAGGCATTTGCCATGCATCTTGGGAAGATGCGCAAGAAGTTCAGCCAGGAGAATTCCCCTATTCGCACCTACTTGGTGACTGCCCGCAGTGGCCGTGATATGGGCATCCGTGCTATCAAGACCCTCCGGGAATGGGGGCTGGCGATTGATGAAGCCTTCTTCATGGACGGGGCTCCCAAGGGCCCTCTCCTCTCCCAGATCCAACCCCACATCTTCTTTGACGATGGCCTTCATAACATCCAGGGGGCTCAGGATATTGGCATACCCTCTGCCTTGGTCCCCTGTAACTGCTGATGGGCAGGGATGAAGGGGCAAAGGTCATCCAAGGATCAGGCCTCCCAAAATGCAATGGGAGAACACCAGGACAAAGCTTCTGCCAGAAGGGATAAGGGAGGATTTCTAAATCTGTGCTAAGCAAGCTTGGGGCAGAGGGAGGGAAGATGCTGTGTGTTGATGTGGTGCTGGATCTGTTGCTCTTGGGTCCCTCTCTTAGTTCCAAAGACAGGGTCCATCTGACCTTGGGGATGTGGCAACAGAAGTCAAAAATCCACAGGAAGGAAGGACTCTCGAAATGTAACCGTTACGCGCATCTCTTGATCTGCCTTAGCCATCTCTTCAGTGACTGCAACCCTTCCAGCCACTAGGGCTGATGTGCTCCACTACTCGTGTCATGCGAGCGATGAGACCATGTGAGCTGAAGACAGCATGTCACTGTCGTAAGAGGCAGGCAGTGTAAGCTCAGGCTGCACTCAGGCATGGGAGTTGGTCTTTGGGGCTTTGGGCCAGTACTGCTATTCAAATGCCAAGATGCCCTCTAAACGCTGCATTTGTTGGGGATTGTGCTTTTTCAAAGGAAACTATTTTTTTTTAGTGTGTATGTTTTATATATATGGGGCCAAATCCTGAGGGGTGCTGAGCAACTAGTGAGCACTTGCATCTTCCGTTGACTTCAGCAGGAGTTCCAGATGCTCAGCACCTCCCAGGATTTGAGTGCCAGGGACCAGGAAATCTGTCTTCTCACAGTTTCTAGTTTGTAGGTATGCCTTACGTTGGGCCTGATTCTGATCTCCCATTTGGTGTAAATCAGGAGTAACTCCACAGAAATCAGTGGAATTATACCAGGGTAAGTGAAATCAGAATCCGGTCCATAATATCTAGTAGTTAATTTAATGTCAACCTCTCTCTCTTCCACATCTCTTTTCTGCTCAGTTCTCTCTTTTCCTGCCAGCCACGCAGCCTCTCTGCTGCTCTCCCCTCTAAATGGCACAGAAAGATCAAGTCACTGTCAATTTATAATGCACAACACTGCAAAGCTGCTTTTCTCACAGTATCTCAAGTATGTTTGTGCTGAGAATAGGGTAAGAATGGCAGGCCCCACAGTATATCTGGTCATTCACACTTAGGATCCAAGACAAATCATTCCAATGTTATTTTCCAGTAATAATTTTTTTAAAGAACTAAGTCTGGGTTGGTTATATCTGCACACAAATATGGTGCAAAGCCCTCGTATAGACATAATATACATAGGATACTAGGGTTATATCCTCTGTGTGTGTATGTTTATTTACATAGATATAGATAGGTATAAATTATGGGCCAGTTTCTCAGTTGGTGTAAATCTGTGGTAGCTCCTTTGACTCAAGGAGTTATGCCAACTTATCTGAGAATCTGGCCCTACATGTATGATGCTGCAGTAATGACCTAGCACTCCAGTTCCTGTGCGCTCTTGCCAGCAACAGCGCTTCGATTTTAGTGCTTGAATCTCAGCAAACTATTCAAAAGGGGTAGGAAGATTCAAAAATAACAGCAGAGTATTGGGGTAGGAGAGGGCTTAGCCGAGTGCCTTATTCTAAGCACTCTGCGTTACACATTCCTTGTTTCTTCTCGAATAAACAGCCATTAGCTTTTGTTCTTGCTGGCTGTAACAGGGGCTGCTGATTACACTGCGGCATTGTTCTTGCTGGCGCTGGAGCATCTGAAGCCTGTCCTGAGTGGTTTGGGATATGTTGGATTGTTTACTGGGCAGGAAGCAGTAGGACGGAGCCTAATTTATATTTGCTAACCTGCAGTTTCTTTCCAAGGGCTGGTTTCAGAGTAGCAGCTGTGTTAGTCTGTATTCTCAAAAAGAAAAGGAGTACTAGTGGGCTCAAATAAATTGGTTAGTCTCTAAGGTGCCACTAGTACTCCTTTTCTTTTTTCCAAGGGCTGAATTTCATCCATTTGTCTATGCACACATTCACCACCAGAGGCCACCATGCTGCTCCTTACTGAAAAAGGCATGCTGGCCAATTGATCCCATTGCTGCTGTAGCATGTGGCCAGGTCACAAAATCAGGGCAAACAGAACTTAGATTTTTGCTTCAAAGGGGCTCTTACAAGCAGTGGGTAAAAAACAATGTTTAATTGACAAAATACGAGAAAAATATCATACTGCCTCTATATAAAAATCCACAGTACGCCGACATATTGAATAGTGCATGCAGATTTGGTCACCCCATCTCAAGAAAGATCCATTGGATTTGGAAATGGTACAGAAAAGGGCAACAGAAATAATTAAGGGTATGAACACCTTCTGTGTGAAGAGAGATTGAAAAGACTTGGGATTTTTCAGCTTGGAAAAGAGATGACTAAAGGGGCATGTGATCGAGGTCTATAAAATCATGACTGGTGTGGAAAAATTGAGTAAGGAAGTGTTATTTACTCCTTCACATAACACAAGAACTAGGGGTCACCCAATGAAATTAATAGGCAGCAGGTTTAAAACCAAAAAAAAAAGTATTTCTTCACAGTCAACCTGTGGAACTCTTTTTCCAGGGGATGTCGTGAAGGCCAAAACTATAGCAGGGTTCCAGTAAGAATTATACGTTCATGGAGGATAGGTCCAGCAATGGCAATTAGCCAGGGTGGGCAGGGATCCAACACCCTGTTCTGCATGTCCTTCGCCTCTGTTTGCCAGAAGCTGGGAGTGGGCAACAGGGCAACTTGATTGCCTGTTCTGTTCATTCCCTCTGAAGCACCTGGCATTGGCCTCTGTCGGAAGACAGGATACTGGGCTAGCTGGACCTTTGGTCTGACCCAGCGTAGCCATTCTTATGTTCTTATATAGAACCCAGATGTATCTGCTCCCCACTGTAACCCACTAGACCCCGCTCTCCTCCAAGAGCTGGGATAGAACCCAGGAGTCCTGATGGGGTCTCTCATCACAGAGTTAGTAATAAAGTCAGAATATACATTAAATTTTAAACCTAACCAGTGTCCCTTAAGTGACTTACCACAAGATGTCAGAACACGTTATTGTTAGAGCTGAGTGGGTCTAATATTTATTTAATTTTCTTTCTTTTATATAGGAATTAGGTACAGAGCTCCTGTCAGCTAATTGCTGTTATCTGCCAAAAAAATAGAGTTTTCAAGTGCCTAAGTATCCCCAGGATTCACGGTTTAAGGTGGCTCCCCCTTACCAAAATCTGCAGTGGCGCCCCTGGCTGGCCCACTGAAGTCAATGGCAAAACCCTCATCGACTTCAGTAGAGCCAGGATTTCACCTTGAGCTCTCCCCTTTTGAACCAGTAGGGGCTCAGAAGCAGGACTGCTATACACAGGAGTGAGTGTTGCTCGAAAGCAACCTTCCCTCCCCAGTGGTTGATGGAAGGAGTGACATTGACTGACACATAATCACTCCCCTGGCTAGAAAGATGCTGGCTGCACTGTGAGAAACTGAAGGTGAGAATGTTAAAGTAGGGAAATGTATGTGAGGTGGTAGTGAGGAAGAATTCCCAACCTCTAGTGGAAATACTGTGGACCACTGCATACTGAGGAAGGGGGAGTTGCTACTATCTCTTTTGTAGATAGATGGTGTCATAAATATAAAGGGAAGGGTAACCACCTTTCTGTATACAGTGCTATAAAATCCCTCCTGGCCAGAGGCAAAGTCCTTTTAGCTGTAAAGGGTTAAGAAGCTCAGGTAACCTAGCTGGCACCTGACACAAAATGACTAATGAGGGGACAAGATACTTTAAAATCTGGAGGGGGGAAAAAGGTTTTGTCTGTCTGTGTGGTACCTTTGCTGGGAACAGATCAAGGATGCAAGCCCTCCAACTCCTGTAAAGTTAGTAAGTAATCAAGGTAGAAAATGCGTTAGGTTTTCTTTGTTTTGGCTTGTGAAATTTGCTGTGCTGGTGGAAATGTGTATTCCTGGTTTTGTGTCTTTTTGTAACTTAAGGTTTTGCCTAGAGGGATTATCTATGTTTTGAATCTGACTGCCTGTAAGATTATCTTCCATTCTGATCTTACAGAGCTGTTCTCTTATCTTTTTTTGTTCTTCTAATAAAGTTCTGTTTTTTAAGAATCTGACTGAATTTTTTTGGGTGTTTAAAAATCCAAGGCTGATCTGTGCTCATCTTGTTTATTCTCAAGCCTCCCCAGGAAAGGGGTTGTAAGGGCTTGGGGGGATATTTTGGGAAAATAGGAACTCCAAGTTGTCCTTTCCCTGTTCTTTGTCTAAATCACTTGGTGGTGGCAGCATGCTGTTCAAAGTCAAGGCGAAGTTTGTGCCTTGGGAAAGTTTTTAGCCTAAGCTGGTAAAAATAAGCTTAGGGAGTCTTTTATGAGGGTCCCCACATCTGTACCCTAGAGTTCAGAGTGGGGAAGGAACCCTGACAGATGGCTAAAGCAATAGTCTTCTTCAGCTTGCCACTCCTGTAGTAGACCCATAACCTCTGGCTGTGTTACTGAAGTCCTCAAATCTTGATTTAAAGACTTCAAGTTACAGAGAATACACCATTTACTCTACTCTAATTCAAACCAGCAAGTGACCCATGCTGCAGAGGAAAGGAAAAAACCCCAGGGTCTCTGTCAATCTGACCTGGGGTAAAATTTCTTCCCAACCCCAAATACAGCACTCAGTTAGACCCTGAGCATGTGGGCAAGACTCACCAGCTAGACACTTGAGAAAGAATTTTCTGTAGTAACTCAGAGATCTCCCCATCTAGTGTCCCATCTCCAGCCGTTGGGGATATTTGCTAATCGCAATCACAGGCGGGCCATATGCCATTGCAGGCAGTCTCATCATACCACCCCTCAAACTTATCAAGCTGAGCCTTAAAACAAGTTAGGTTTTGTTTCCCCCCTACTCCTCTTGGAAGGCTGTTCCAGAACTTCACTCCTCTGATGGTTAGAAACCTTTGTCTAATGTCAAGCCTAACTTATAGATGGCCAGTTTATACCCATTTGTTCTTGAGCCAGCTCTTCTCCCTCACTGGTGTTTATCCCTTTGATTTATTTATAGAGAGCAATCATATCTCCCCTCAACCTTTGGCTTGTTTAGCCAGAAAAAAACCAAGCTCCTTAAGTCTCCTCTCATAAGGTAGGCTCTCGGTTCTTCTGATTATCACAGTAGCCCTTCCCTGCACTGTCTCTGGTTGATTGTGCAGTGTTGCTGATGAGTGATGAGCTGAAGGCAATCGTGCAGAAAGGCTCTGACATCCAGTAATAGACTATTGCATGGCACAGGAGAGCTGGTTGAAAAATCTCATTTTATTTCAGCAAAAATGTCAAATACAAAGATCTTGTCTTTAAGTGGTTCATGGAAAATGTCAAGTTTTTGACCAAAAAAAATCAAAACAAATGTTTGGTACATTTCAGATTTTAGATTTGCATTTTGTCTTGGTTTTCAAAAATCAAAGTGAAACGAAAACTGCAGTTAGAAATGAAGCCAAATGACAATTTTTGGTTTGAATTTTTTTCATTGACAGTTTAGTGGAAATTGAACCATTTTGGGGACACATTTCACCAACACTGTACTTTTTGGTTGGGGGAAAAAAAAATTCAACTGAAAAATTACAACCAGCTGTAGTTACGAGTAGCAGTGACTACTGTCCAATGAGATAACAAATTCAGTCTGCCTCTGTTTCAGCTTTGAATCACTTGAGTATCTCCTGAGTGAAATCTAAGGTTTTATTCCACCAGTCCCTAAAAAGGAGGTGAATCATAGATTTCACAAACGGAAAAGGCCTGTTAGGTCATGCCTGTCAGTGCAGAATTGTTCCGTACAGCACAGCGTCTCGTGTTTCATCCAGTCTGTTTTAAATTGTGCCAGGGGATCAGGTTTCCATCATTGTTCCATAGGCGAATATGGATATTCTCTGATATTCAGCCTGAGTTTTCCTTCTCTTTAATGTCATCCCATGTTCACTCAGTGTCAAAGGACCACACGGTGTCTCTCCATCTGGTGCATATTTATGTCCATCCAATAGGAAAACATTGCACATGATCAACCATTGCCTCCATCAGAAATGAATGTTGTTTGCTGTTAGTATTTAAATTTTGGTCTTATTTTTCATGCTGACAGAGGCCAAGAAAAATTCATGGATAAGAATTATGGTAACACTGCTGTGGGCATCGATGCATTTGGAACTGGTCAGAGTTTGATAACGAAATGTTAACAGTCCCAGGGAACAAGGAGGGTGTTGTGCATTAGAGGCAAAATGCTGCACACGAGCATGAGAAAAACATGGAAACATGAGATCAGCAGATTCTAGGCACAAACTCTCTAGCCCCAGTGAATGAACAAGAGAAGGATCATGGGGAGAGGAGGAAAAAAGGTGGATGGTTTCTATTTCAATGTGATCAGAAAACAACTTTTGAAAAATGATTTACAAATTCCACTCCTGCCAATGCTGTTTTCTCGGATAAATAAATAGATGGATGAACATCATTTGATGGTGAGAAGAATTTTTTCCCCACGTGTGTGTGTGTGTGTGTGTGTGTGAATAAAAAGGTAGAAAACAGCCTAACATTTCTTACGATCCTGTTGTACACTTGAAAGGAAAGTTGAGTGTTTATTCAAGATTTTTATTAAATGCATGCACATCGTCAGGCAATTTATTAAGTTCAGAGTCCACTGAAGTCCAGGGAAAGATTTCCATTGATTTCAAAGGGTTTTGGATCATCCCCTTAAGGAAGCAAGTACATAAAACCTCTGGCGATGTAACATTGCTCCTAAAAAGTGTTTTCCCAGGTGCCATGGCTCTGAGAAGAGAGGTCATTCATTTTAGTTCCCAAGTTGCCTATATTACAAATAAACTCGGAAACTCCTATTTATATCAAGAATGAATGACGAATCCAAGGTAGAGAGAGTGATTCCCGCTAGAAGAGCCCACCACATTTTCAGTTTCTTGCAGGAATGATTGTTTTCTGTTCCTCATTTTGGTCTTTGTCAAGTGTCGTGTCCCACGTTTGGGCCTTTGTAGGTTAAGAAATACACACTTTGGTCCCCTCTCTCTCTCTCTGTCTCCTCCCTCCCTCCATTCCCAGCTCTGAGGGGGGTGTTCTTTAGTGGTCACAGATCCTTCTGCCTCTTTCTATTCTAGTCTGTCCCTGTCCCAGTCCTGTCTCTTTCCCACCCCCCCCCTTCCCTGCCTCCTCAGCTCAGTCTCCTCTCCTAGTTACTCCCAGTCTTCATCCCCCTGTGTTCCTCATCCTAGGCCTTGTTTCCTTGCCTGTCCAATCTAGTCTCCCTGGCAGAGTTCCAATATTCTCCCCACTCTGACTCTTCATCCCAGTCTCCCTCCACCCCCAGACTCATTCAATCTCACTCCCCCTGCCCAGCCCCAGTCTCCCACTCTAGGTTCCTTGTCCCAGTCTGCTTGCCCAGCCAGTCCCAGGCTCCTTCCCATCTGCTCATCTTATCTCAGTTTGCCACCCACTAGTTCCCAGTCTCAGCCCTGGTCTACACTAGGGGTTAGGTCGAATTTAGCCATGTTAGGTCAGTTTTAAAATGAATGCGTCTACACAACCAACCCCGTTCCGTCGACCTAAAGGGCTATTAAAATTGACTTCTGTACTCCTCCCCGGCGAGGGGAGTAGCCCTAAAATTGACCTTGCTAGGTTGAATTTGGAGTAGTGCAGACGCAATTCGATGGTATTGGCCTCCGGGAGCTATCCCAGAGTGCTCCAATGTGACTGTTCTAGACAGCACTTTGAACTCCAATGCACTAGGCAGGTACACAGTAAACGCCCCGGGAAATTTTGAATTTCATTTCCTGTTTGGTCAGCGTGACAAGCTCAGCAGCACAGGTGACCATGCAGTACCCCCAGAATTGCAAACGAGCTCCAGCATGGACCGAAAGGGAGACACTGGATCTGATTGCTGTATGGGGAGAAGAATCTGTGCAGGCCGAACGCCGATCAAAAAGAAGAAATGTTAATATATATGCCAAAATCGCACAGGGCATAGTGGAGAGAGGCTACAACAGGGGCACACAGCAGTGCCGTGTGAAAGTCAAAGAGCTCAGGCAAGCCTACCAAAAGACAAAGGAGGCAAACGGTCACTCCAGGTCAGAGCCCCATACATGCCGCTTCTATGAACAGCTGCATGACATTCTAGGGGGGGACCCTACCACTACCCCACCACTGTCCATGGACACCTGCGAGGGGGCAGTCTCCCACAACAGGGAGGAGGATTTTGTAGATGAGGAGGAGGAGAATGTGCAGCAGGCAAGCAGTGAATCCGTTCTCCCCAGCAGCCAGGACCTTTTCATCACCCTGGAGCCAATACCCTCCCAAGGCGGGATCCCCGACCCTGAACCCGGAGAAGGCAGCTCTGGTGAGTGCACATTTTTAACTACAGTACAGGGTTTAAAAGCAATAGTGTTTAATGTTTGATTTGTCCTGAAGAATTGGGATGCATTCACGACCAGTATAGCTACTGGAAAAATCTGTTAATGTGTCAGGGGATGGAGCTGGAATCCTCCAGGGACATCTCCATGAAGCTCTCCTGGAGGTACTCTGAAAGCCTTTTCAGAAGGTTTCTGGGGAGGGCTGCCTTATTTCATCCTCCACGGTAGGACACTTTACCACGCCAAGCCAGTAGCAAGTAGTCTGGAATCATTGCAGCACAAATCATGGCAGCGAATGGTCCTGCGTTTTGGTCGCATTCAAGCAACATTCGGTCTTTATCTTTCTGTGTTAGCCTCAGGAGAGTGATATCATTCATGGTCACCTGGTTGAAATAGGGGAATTTTTGTAAGGGAACAGTAAAAGGACCCCGCTGAGTTCTTTGTGCTTGGCTAAAAGGGATCATCCCGGAGAATAGCCACACGGCGCGGGGAGGGGAAAAGTGATCATCCTAGACAATAGCCAGGCGGTGGGGTGTGGGGAAGTGTGTGCTGCACATCCACCCGAAAACTGCAGCCCCTCCTTTTAAATGTGAAACCCAACCAGCATTGCTTGCTATGGGAAAGGATGGCGCTGCAGTTTGAAACCATTCCCACATGTTATGAAGGTGGAGGAAGCCAACCCCACGTACCAAAAGGCTGCCTGGAAACTGAATTCTGTTGCCAAGCCATGTG